GAGACCATCGAGGGGGGAGGAGAGTGCGTGCGGGGGGTCTCTGGACGCACTCAAGCCATCTCTAGACGCACTCAAGCCATCTCTGGACGCACTCAAGCCATCTCTAGACGCACTCAAGCCATCTCTGGACGCACACAAGCCATCTCCGGACGCACTCAAGCCATCTCTAGACGCACACAAGCCATCTCCGGACGCACACAAGCCATCTCTGGACGCACTCAAGCCATCTCTGGACGCACTCAAGCCATCTCTGGACGCACTCAAGCCATCTCTAGACGCACACAAGCCATCTCCGGACGCACACAAGCCATCTCTGGACGCACTCAAGCCATCTCTGGACGCACTCAAGCCATCTCTAGACGCACACAAGCCATCTCCGGACGCACACAAGCCATCTCTGGACGCACTCAAGCCATCTCTAGACGCACACAAGCCATCTCTGGACCCTCTCAAGGCATCTCTGGACGCACTCAAGCCATCTCTGGACCCCCTCAAGCCATCTCTGGACCCCCTCAAGCCATCTCTGGACCCCCTCAAGCCATCTCTGGACCCCCTCAAGCCATCTCTGGACGCACTCAAAGCCATCTCTAAACGCACACAAGCCATCTCTGGACGCACTCAATTAGCCATCTCTGGACGCACACAAGCCATCTCTGGACGCACTCAAGTCATCTCTGGACGCACTCAAGCCATCTCCGGACGCACTCAAGCCTGACTTAGTGTACACGGAGAGATAGAGACGGGCTCCGGGAAGTTTATCTTAGCCCCCAGACTTAACCGGTCTTTAGGCCTATTTCTGAGTCAAGGAGGCTGTAGGCCTATTTCAGGCCCAACCAACTTTTAGGTTTATTAAATTTATTTAAATTTTAAGTTTATTAAATTTAAATTTAAGTTTATTAAAATGTTATTTTTAATATATTATTAAATTTATTATTAAATTTATTATTAAATTTATTATTAAATATTATAAATTTATTATTAATATTATAAATTTATTATTAAATTTATTATTAAATTTATTATTAAATATATATTATTAAATTTAAGTTTATTAAATTTATCAGGTTTATTAAGGACAACTAGACTGTCCACGTTGTCTTAGGCCTAACCAAACTGTCCATGTTGTCTTAGGCCTAACCAAACTGTCCATGTTGTCTTAGGCCTAACCAAACTGTCCACGTTGTCTTAGGCCTAACCAAACTGTCCATGTTGTCTTAGGCCTAACCAAACTGTCCATGTTGTCTTAGGCCTAACCAAACTGTCCTCGTTGTCTTAGGCCTAACCAAACTGTCCTCGTTGTCTTAGGCCTAACCAAACTGTCCATGTTGTCTTAGGCCTAACCAAACTGTCCATGTTGTCTTAGGCCTAACCAAACTGTCCATGTTGTCTTAGGCCTAACCAAACTGTCCTCGTTGTCTTAGGCCTAACCAAACTGTCCTCGTTGTTTTAGGCCTAACCAAACTGTCCTCGTTGTTTTAGGCCTAACCAAACTGTCCATGTTGTCTTAGGCCTAACCAAACTGTCCACCTTGTCATAGGCCTAACCAAACTGTCCGCGTTGTCATAGGCCTAACCAAACTGTCCTCGTTGTCTTAGGCCTAACCAAACTGTCCACGTTGTCTTAGGCCTAACCAAACTGTCCTCATTGTTTTAGGCCTAACCAAACTGTCCACCTTGTCATAGGCCTAACCAAAGTGTCCACCTTGTCATAGGCCTAACCAAACTGTCCATGTTGTCATAGGCCTAACCAAACTGTCCACGTTGTCATAGGCCTAACCAACTGTCCGCGTTGTCATAGGCCTAACCAAACTGTCCTCGTTGTCTTAGGCCTAACCAAACTGTCCACATTGTCATAGGCCTAACCAAACTGTCCTCGTTGTCTTAGGCCTTACCAAACTGTCCACGTTGTCTTAGGCCTAACCAAACTGTCCTCATTGTTTTAGGCCTAACCAAACTGTCCACCTTGTCATAGGCCTAACCAAAGTGTCCACCTTGTCATAGGCCTAACCAAACTGTCCATGTTGTCATAGGCCTAACCAAACTGTCCACGTTGTCATAGGCCTAACCAAACTGTCCGCGTTGTCATAGGCCTAACCAAACTGTCCTCGTTGTCTTAGGCCTAACCAAACTGTCCACATTGTCATAGGCCTAACCAAACTGTCCACGTTGTCTTAGGCCTAACCAAACTGTCCTCATTGTTTTAGGCCTAACCAAACTGTCCACGTTGTCTTAGGCCTAACCAAACTGTCCTCATTGTTTTAGGCCTAACCAAACTGTCCACCTTGTCATAGGCCTAACCAAAGTGTCCACCTTGTCATAAGCCTAACCAAACTGTCCATGTTGTCATAGGCCTAACCAAACTGTCCACGTTGTCATAGGCCTAACCAAACTGTCCACGTTGTCATAGGCCTAACCAAACTGTCCTCGTTGTTTTAGGCCTAACCAAACTGTCCACGTTGTCTTAGGCCTAATCAAACTGTTCACGTTGTCATAGGCCTAACCAAACTGTCTTCGTTGTCATAGGCCTAACCAAACTGTCCTCGTTGTTTTAGGCCTAACCAAACTGTCCACGTCATAGGCCTAACCAAACTGTCCACCTTGTCATAGGCCTAACCAACATTAACATAGCCTCATTATTTAGTATTCTCTTATATTCTCAAACGAATATTTGAAAATTAGGCGAAATTAGTAGTTGGAGAATGTGCTTTGCACCATCAATTGTCCGTTGTATTAGTCCGTTGTATTATGCCGTTGTATTATGCCGTTGTATTATTAGTCCGTTGTATTATGCCGTTGTATTATTAGTCCGTTGTATTATGCCGTTGTATTATGCCGTTGTATTATTAGTCCGTTGTATTATGCCGTTGTATTATGCCGTTGTATTATTAGTCCGTTGTATTATGCCGTTCTTTTTGGCTACAATTACGGTCGCATTTCGCGCTGTTTCGCGACATTACGCAAATTAAAAGTATTGCATTTTGCTTGCATTGTGAGCGGTGTTGATGTGACTGACCTGCAGTTTCCGGTGAAGTTCATTTACAGCTTCGAAGACGTCTTCCAGGTATGCCAAATGAGCCAGACATTCAGGAATGCTCACGGCGTAATTCGTGTTCATTGTCCTTGATGCTCCTCAGCGTCCGTGTTTTCTCAGTCTGCGGAGTTCCAGTGGGCGCTGCCCCAATACTGTCACTATGGCGCGGTGTGTCCACTCACAAGATGAGTGGCGCTGCCCCAATACTGTCACTATGGCGCGGTGTGTCCACTCACAAGATGAGTGGCGCTGCCCCAATACTGTCACTATGGCGCGGTGTGTCCACTCACAAGATGAGTGGCGCTGCCCCAATACTGTCACTATGGCGCGGTGTGTCCACTCACAAGATGAGTGGCGCTGCCCCAATACTGTCACTATGGCGCGGTGTGTCCACTCACAAGATGAGTGGCGCTGCCCCAATACTGTCACTATGGCGCGGTGTGTCCACTCACAAGATGAGTGGCGCTGCCCCAATACTGTCACTATGGCGCGGTGTGTCCACTCACAAGATGAGTGGCGCTGCCCCAATACTGTCACTATGGCGCGGTGTGTCCACTCACAGGATGAGTGGCGCTGCCCCAATACTGTCACTATGGCGCGGTGTGTCCACTCACAAGATGAGTGGCGCTGCCCCAATACTGTCACTATGGCGCGGTGTGTCCACTCACAGGATGAGTGGCGCTGCCCCAATACTGTCACTATGGCGCGGTGTGTCCACTCACAAGATGAGTGGCGCTGCCCAATACTGTCAGTATGGCGGTGTGTCCACTCACAAGATGAGTGGCGCTGCCCCAATACTGTCACTATGGCGGTGTGTCCACTCACAAGATGAGTGGCGCTGCCCCAATACTGTCACTATGGCGCGGTGTGTCCACTCACAGGATGAGTGGCGCTGCCCCAATAAACTCGCCCCTAGGGGCAAAATTTAAAAAAATTAAAATTTGGTAGGGACTGTGTCAAATGATTTTTTTGTGACATCCAGGAAAATTCAAGTCATTCACTCTTCTCCTCTCTCTCTCTCTCTCTCTCTCTCTCTCTCTCTCTCTCTCTCTCTCTCTCTCTCTCTCTCTCTCTCTCTCTCTCTCTCTCTCTCTCTCTCTCTCTCTCTCTCTCTCTCTCTCTCTCTCTCTCTCTCTCTCTCTCTCCCCCCCCCCAGACGCATGCGAGTAACCTTGTCTAACTTGATCAGGTTCGCAAAGCATGATTTTCCCTTTCTAAGACAACTTGTCTTAGAAAGACAGTGGACTACCTTGACTACAAGGCAATTCACTCCCTCTAATGGTCCGCTATCTTCATTCTCGTTATTTTATTCAGTATTTTTGCAAGGTATATTTGCCAAGTGACATATAAGGCTGGAATTTAAAGCTTATTCCTCACCTCTTCCTTCAGAGCCTCGTGGGAAGTCTTCCGTGTTCGCGAATGTTTCTCATTTGCTAACGACATAATATAGTCCCGAGTGAGAAGGTTGTGTTGTATTTTTTGATGCCTTTCTCAGTGTCCGCGGCGACATGGGATTTTTTTATCCTACTGCTTTAGCTACTGTGAATTCTTTCAGGTGATTTTCTTCTTTCTTACTTTCAACTGTAACTTTCAAATTTTGTTTTCAGTTGGTTTTAATCTCTTATAAAGCCTTCAGATCTTGTTCGTAGTTAAGAGAATACTGAATTTTGTTGAATTCGTCACAGATCTTACTGTCGCTTTCTGTGAGGACGTTACCTTATTTTCTTTAGCATTTACACTCTTGTAAAGCCACTAGTACGCGCAGCGTTTCGGGCAAAATTAATAAAATGAATTAGCAGAATTAATAAATAGCAGAATAGCAGCATAATATAATAGAATATAATAGAATAGAATATAATAACAACATAGAATAGCAGAATTAATAAAAGGATAACAGATACATTGCAAGAAAACAATTTTTGTTGATTTGTTTTACCTTATTTTCGTAATGTTGATTTCCTCCTCTTGACTGGTTAGTGTTCGTATCCATTCGTTGGGTTTAAGCCCAACCACTTGGGCTGGACGGTAGAGCGATGGTCTCTCGCTTCATGCAGGTCGGCGTTCAATCCCCCGACCGTCCAAGTAGTTGGTCCACCATTCCTTCCCCCTCCCCCCTCGTCCCAAATCCTTATCCTGTTCCCTTCCAAGTGCTATATAGTCGTAATGGCCCTGGCGCTTTCCTCTGATACTTCCCTTACTTCCCTCTTTGGTTTAAAGCCGCAACATAATTTTCAGACCGCCTCTCTGCTTCTCTTCTTGCTCTAATATACTTCTTCTTATATACTTATTATTGAATATACTTATTAGTATATTCAATAATAAGTATCTTCAATATACTTATTAGTGTTTCCCTGTGTCCCCAGGACTCTAGGGACACAGGGAAATAGTCTACACTATTCCTAGAACTAATTGACTAATTTTTAGTTAATTAGTTAAAGTCCGTGAGGACTAACCCTGATTTTTCTCGACAAGATAAGTATGTATTTGTAGTTAAGACGTGCATGGATGCTGAACAGTTGCATAATCCTGCTATCACCCTCCAACTAAATATAATTTCCGCTATAATTTCCCCTATTATTTTATTTATTATTTAATTTCCCCTATTATTTCCTAAATATTATTTCCACTATATATAGTGGTTCAAGAGTCAAGAGTCTTTCGCCTTGTTTTTACTTTCCTCTAAGA